GAGCCCCGATGGCAGTCAATGGTTTATGCCCGCCCGTTCCCAGCGATTCCCAAGGGTGTAGTTTGCAGGCGGTGTGGTCTGCAACCCGCACCCTGGGGGGCGGGCGGGGACCTCGACAGAGTTCTCCGCCGCGCCCCGACGGAGGAGGCCCGACGAGAGCCACGTGGTGCTTTACCCCCCTAGGCCCCACCTGACGCAGAACCCACGGAGGAGGAGGAGGAGGAGGAGGAGGAGGAGGAGGAGGAGGAGGAGGAGGAGGACCCCGACGTAACCACACCCTTTGCAATCGCCGACCTGAGGCGCCCTGGCCGCCTGCAGGGCCCCAGGCGTTAAGCCCCCCCCCTTCAGAGGGCCCCAGGCGGTCCTCCAAGACAGCTCAGATGCCCCCTAAGAGCGCCCAAGATGGCCCCCAGATGTCTCCAAGAGCGCCCAAGATGGCCCCCAGATGTCTCCAAGACGGCCCAAGATGCACCCAAGATAGCCCCAAAGGGCGTGAAGATGTCCCAAGACGGCCCAAGAGACTCTCAAGACGCCTCCTAAACGATCGAAGCGGCGTCCAAGGGGTCCTTCTGGAGGGCCCGAAGAGCTCAAAGTCACTCGTCTCCCTGACGTGTTTGAAGAGCTGTGGTATTGGTTTCTTGTTCGGCCCAATCGCGGTCGCACCTGCAAGCGCAGCCAGGCAACGATCATGTTTCACGGCCCGTAGGTCCATCAAGCACCTCGCTCGCCGCCAAGTGCTTCTTGGATCTGCGCGGCATTTGCTTAGTGGATACGAGGTTGCAAGTTAATGTTAAGGGGTGATCTATCTGGATATGGCCTCAGCTAGCCTGTAAGGAGCTTACAGGTGCCCAAAGGTGGCCTCGGGGGGTTGACAATCGGGGCTAAGTGGGCTCCGCTCATTTAGCAAAGTTATCTACCCCCCCTAAATCACATGGGACACTTGTAACCCACTTGCGAGCCAGATTCGGCCAGAACTAACACATCTTGACATCCACTGATGGACCCCCTATCCCCTTAGCAACCCCCGCGCAGATTCAAGCAATGGAGGGCAACGAAAAACATCCGGTAAGCATCAACATCGAGGACGTGGCGACGGCGACGACGACGACGGTCGGCGGCGGCGACGCAGGAATACCTCCAGGACAGCGACCGCGACGGACGACGACGCTCGACGGCAACGAGACGAACGGTGGCGACGACATCGACGACGATGCAGACGATGCAAAAGCAACAACGACGCTGCTGGCGACGAACGGTGACGGCGACGCAGAACGACCCCCTGTGACATCCGCGGATCAGATAGTTTGCCATCCGCGGCTGCAGGGGTCCCAACCTCCTGCCTGTTTTTTTTTGTTCGCCCTGATGGCCCCGGTGTCCGCAAACGGCCCCCGCACGCTGAAAAAATACACCAATCGAACAACATCAAATCGTCGGATTTGTGAGTCGGCACCGTGATTTCTTACAAAAAGGACTCCTCCAATCCTGAACCGTTTCCCAGGACGGGATTATCATCCCGAGGCGTTTCTTGACGGCCCTGGGGCCCGGCGAGGGCCCCAGAGGCCAAAAGCAACGGAAAACCTCCGTCCTGCCTTTTCTGTTACGATGGAGCTCTGGCCAGGTGATGCTAGAAGTGCCGCTGGCCCAAGGTGCTCCCAGGATGCCCGAGGAGGCCCCAACGGCCCCCAGAGCCCCCCTCGCGAGGTCCAGAGGGCCCCAGGGGCTCGGAAAGGGAGCGAAAAGCTGGGCGGCACTGCGCGGTTTCCCCCAGGGCCGTAGGTAACCCAAGGAGGAGGAGGAGGAGGAGGAGGAGGAGGGAGCGGCGGAGGAAGAGAGGAGGGCAGCCCCCCGCCCGTGCGCGCCCGGGGGGGCCCTCGCTCGGCCTGCAGGAGCGGCGGAGGCCTCAGAGAGGAGCCGCGGGCCCGTCGGGGCCGCGGGGGCCCTGCCCGCACGGCTGACGCAGAGGTAAAAACGACGCGAAGATCGGGACAGAACCGGATCGGGATAACTCGAAATCTCCGAGGATCGGCGGGCTTGGAGGATGTGCTGGGCGCCGCGGCCGCTCCAGAGCGTTCCGGAGCGCTCCGAGAGCGTTCCGGAACGCTCTGGAGCGATTTATCCCGATCCTGGCCCTGTTTTAAGAGGCCTCCTGGATGGGGACCGGGTAGAGGGGGTCGACGGATCGCGACACATCGCCAATGCATCGCCGATGTATCGGCGATGCATCGGCGATGCATCGGCGACGTCGGCGTGGGGAAACACGGTCTCCACATCGAGCCGCATCGTCGATGCGTCGGCGAGGCGGCGCGATCCTCCGACCCCAAGTACTCGGACCCCATCTACGAGACCTAGATTACGTTCGCTACAAGCCTGACACCTCTGCCCCTGTGGGCGGCACTCAAAGAAACATGGCGCACAGAAAAACGAGAGTTCTGGGTCACGGAGCCTGGCACGCACATATTCGCAGCTTCTGGGCATGACAGTCCGACACGAGGTGCATTCCTTGTTCATAAACGACATGCGCGACACATACGAAGCTTCAAAGCAGTTAACGAGCGGGTCGCCTACATCGACGTCGACTTCCCACATCGTCTGCTCCGAATCGTCACGGCTTACTTCCCACATGGAGGATACAGTGACCAACACGTGCAATGTAGCAGAAATACACGCTGATGCCCACCAACAGCACCGGACGACCATCGTCACAGGAGACTTCGTGGGCTGTCTTGGAGGGTCGGGACGACGAAAAAACAAGAAAACCAAACACCTGCAAAAAAACAACGGAATTCAATGATTTCGGCCTCTTGCAGCCCTCTTGGGAATGCTCTTGGGGCTCTCTTGGGACGTCTTGGAGGCCTCTTGGGCCATCTGGGAGCCATCTTGGGCGTATTGGAGCGGTCTTAGGCGCGTCGAGGCACGCTTTGACAGTCTTCGACGCCTCTTGGGCCGTGTTTGCAAGCTCCTGGGCGGTCTTAGGCGCCTATTGGGTTGTTTTTAGGCCCTCTTGGGCCGTCTTGGGGGCGCTCTTGGGGGCCTCTTGGGCGATCTTGGGACGGTCTTGGGGACTTCGTGGGCTGTCTTGGAGGGTCGGGACGACGAAAAAACAAGAAAACCAACAACCTGCTAAAAACCAACGGAATTCAATGATTTCGGCCTCTTGCAGCCCTCTTGGGAATGCTCTTGGGGCTCTCTTGGGACGTCTTGGAGGCCTCTTGGGCCATCTGGGAGCCATCTTGGGCGTCTTGGAGCGGTCTTAGGCGCGTCGTGGCACGCTTTGACCGTCTTCGACGCCTCTTGGGCCGTGTTTGCAAGCTCCTGGGCGGTCTTAGGCGCCTATTGGGTTATCTTTAGGCCCTCTTGGACCGTCTTGGGGCGCTCTTGGGGGCCTTTTGGGCGATCTTGGGACGGTCTTGGGGACTTCGTGGGCTGTCTTGGAGGGTCGGGACGACGAAAAAACAAGAAAACCAAAAACCTGCAAAAAAAACCAACGGAAATCAATGATTTCGGCCTCTTGCAGCCCTCTTGGGAATGCTCTTGGGGCTCTCTTGGGACATCTTGGAGGCCTCTTGGGCCGTCTGGGAGCCATCTTGGGCGTCTTGGATCGATCGTAAGCGTCTCGAGGCACGCTTGGACCGTCTTCGGCGCCTCTTGGGCCGGACAAGGGCGCTCCCGGAGGCCCGATCCCGCCATGGGGGGTTGCGGTCCCGGCCAGGGAGCCCCCGGCCCTGTAGCCCGGTATGTATATATATATATATATATATATATATATATGTCCATATATATATATATAGAGAGATATACATGGGAGGTTGGGGGGTGAGTGCGAGGTGAAACGGAGACCCCCCCTACCAAGAAATCGATTTCGGTTCCGGGTTCGTGTCGTGCGTGCCGTGCGTGCGGGCGAGGCGAAGCTGCGTGGGCGCGAGAGGAAATCCTCCTGGCTGGGCCGCGGCCGGACCAAATGTTTCTCCTTCGGCGGCCGGTGGCCCGCGGTGTCCCGCTGGTGTCCCGAAATCCTCCTGTGGCTGGGCCGCGGCCGGACCAAATGTTTCTCCTCCGGCGGCCGGTGGCCCGCGGTGTCCCGCCAGTGTCCCGCTGGCTGGATAGTCGAAGCCAATCTGGCGCCAATCTGGCAGGCCCAATCTGGCAGACGGGGGCAATCTGGCGAAGGAGCCAACGCGAATCCAGTCTGGCGAATAACCCAAATCATCCAGTTTGGCCGGGCCAGATTGGCCCTGGGGGCCCAATCCAATCTGACAGTCTGGCCTTCGACTACCCAGGCTGGTGTCTCGAAATCCTCCTGGGACAGCGCTTCACGACAATGTCGAGTGCGCTTCGCCGACATCGCCACATCACATCACGCTCACGTGCACAATCACACTACTCACTAGACTCCGCCCCACAGGCATCGTCAGAACAACAATCACCACTGTTCCCCATTGCTGCCCCCCCCCCCAAACTTCCTCATCACCCGCAGGATGGTCGTATAGGTAGATATACACTGGTAGAGACGCATCGCTTGGCGCATACCCGCCTGGTAAGTAATCCAAGGGTGCGCACACAAAGCGTAGCGAAATTCCTCGCTGCCCCTGGAGTGAAAAGAGTGAACAACAGGACATGACATTGATATTTTCCGACGGAGACGCATCAGCCTGGCGCGCACTTATCTGGTCGATTGCCCAAGGATGTGCGCGCAAGGTGGAGAAACCAGCTCTTGGAAGTGAAGAAATGCATCAAATTCACTTGGCTGGCCGCAGGCGGACCACCTGCAAGCCAGCATTGCAGCCTGACACATACTGAGGCGCCGACCAAGAGCATTCGAACGCCAACAATGAAACTCCGCCGCCCTGTCGCAGACACGTTGGGGCCATGTGAGAGTGCTTGGATGGTTGGGAAAAAACGTGGCTTCTCGAAGCCAAAGGTGAGTTGGCGTAGTGTCGCTCTGCAGAGTAGCCTGATGATACAGGCTCCGCGTCGTGCTAAACACGGTGCGCCGACTCGTGCTAATCGATCTCCGCGTCCTCCTCCGACTCCTGCTCCGGGCCCCAAGAGGCAAAAAACTGTGCTTTGCTCCAGCGTATTGCGAGGGATAGCTGCGCGGCGCGTCAGGGAGCGAGGAGGAGGGAGGGAGATTATAGGAAGGCATCAGGCTCCGTGTCGTGCTAGATCTCCGCGACCTGCTCCGACTCGTTGTACTCGTTGTCCTCAACTTCCGCGTTGTCAATGTCGCGCTCGGGTGTTGGGCTCCTGCCACGGCGAGGACATCTGCGCTTCACCAGGCAGCCCAGCGCGACGCAGCAGACCAAGAACAAGATCAAGACACCAGCGAAGACTGCAATTAATCCCCATGGCTCGGTGGTGGCTGTGGTGTTTGACGTGTCCGAACTCGTTGTCTCGGTGGTTGTCTTGATGATGGTAGTAGTGCTTGACGTCGCGGAACTCGTGCCCGTATCGGTGGTCGTCGTGGCCGTCTTGGTGGTCGTCTTGGTGGTCGTCTCAGTTGTTGCCTCGGTGAAGTCGAACACGTACGCGGAGCCTGAATTGTAGCCCTGGTCGTCGTCATAGTAGGCCCCCACCACCACGCGGGCCCCGTCGGAGCTCACGGCCACCGAGTAACCGAAATAGTCGAGTGCAGCCCCATCACTCGCCACAAGCTTCAGCAGCCTCTCGCCGGTGGTGCCGTCGAACACGCACGCGGAGCCGGAACCCCAGCCCTGGTCGTCGTCACGTTTGCTCCCCACCACCACGCGGGCCCCGTCGGAGCTCACGGCCACCGAGTAACCGAACCAGTCGTCATAAGCCCCATCACTCACCACAAGCTTCAGCAGCCTCTCGCCGGTGGCCCCGTCGAGCACGTACACGGAGCCAGAATCGTAGCCCTGGTCGTCGTCACGGTAGGCCCCCACCACCACGCGGGCCCCGTCGGAGCTCACGGCCACCGAATAACCGAAACTGTCGCCTGCGGCCCCATCACTCGCCACAAGCTTGAGCAGCCTTTCGCCGGTGGCCCCGTCGAGCACGTACGCGGAGCCAGAATCGGCGCCCTGGTCGTCGTCACGGAAGGCCCCCACCACCACGCGGGCCCCGTCGGAGCTCACGGCCACCGAGTAACCGAACAGGTCGCCTTCAACCCCATCACTCGCCACAAGCTTCAGCAGCCTCTCGCCGGTGGTACCGTCGAACACGTACGCGGAGCCGGAATTGGTGCCCTGGTCGTCGTCACCAGTGGCCCCCACCACCACGCGGGCCCCGTCGGAGCTCACGGCCACCGAGTCACCGAAATTGTCGCGTGCAGCCCCATCACTCGCCACAAGCTTCAGCAGCCTCTCGCCGGTGGCCCCGTCGAGCACGTACGCGGAGCCGGAATAGACGTCATCCTTGTCGTTTCCCACCACCACGCGGGCCCCGTCGGAGCTCACGGCCACCGAGATTCCGAATCTGTCGCCTGTAGGCCCATCACTCGCCACAAGCTTGAGCAGACTCTCGCCGGTGGTACCGTCGAGCACGTACGCGGAGCCAAACGTAATGGGCTCACGCTGGACGTCATCGTAGTAGTAGTAGTAAACGGCCCCCACCACCACGCGGGCCCCGTCGGAGCTCACGGCCACCGACGTTCCGAACCAGTGGCTGTCGACCCCATCACCCGCCAAGAGCTTGAGCAACTGCGCGCCGCTGGTAGACAGGCGCCTCCCGAACTCGGCCTGCGGCTCGCGAGGGCGTCCGCTCGCCGAGCCCTCCACCCTCGGGCGGGCCAGCGTCCCGCTCGCCGGCGACCCGGCGCTCGGGGCGCCGCGCGCTGCCAGCAGCAAGTGTAGCGCGCCGACGCTGTGAGACGTGCGCAGGCGCATCATGCCGTCTGCAGATGTGCAGAGCTGAGCGGAACGAGAGACGCCAGAGGGGAGCCCTGGGAGGCCGGCGGCGACGGCCCCTCGGAACCTTGAGCCAAAATTGCGACCAGCCCCGATGGCTTGCCCAAGACATTCCTTGTTCGGACTCACCGTCATCATATGGTTACAGCATCGTCCTTGCTCTTCTCTTTTACACTGGAATTCCTTGGTGATGCTTTCCAAAGGATTCCTTTTGTGAGGCTTTTAAAAATAATCCCTTTGTGGCGCTTTCCAAAGGATTGTTTTTTTTGTTTTTTTTTGTTTTGCGAGGCTTTCCAATAGAATACTTTCGTTGTGCTTTCCAAAGGATTCCTGCTGTGAGGCTTTCCAATAGAATCCCTTTGTTGCGCTTTCCAAAGGATTCCTTGTGTAAGGTTTTCCAATCGAATCTCTTTATTGTGCTTTCAAAAGAATTCCTTTTTTTGTGAGGCTTTCCAGTAGAATCCCTTTGTGATGCAGAGGAGGCGGAGGAGGAGGAGGAGGCGGAGGAGGAGGAGGAGGAGGAGAAGAGAGATCTCTCTCTATATATATATATATATATGTACATACACATATACATATATACATATATATGTATATATAGAGGGCGAGAGAGAGAGAAACAAAGAGAGAGAAATATAGAGAGAGAGAGCGAGAGAGAGAGAGAGAGAGAAAGAGAGAACAAAGAAGAGTGGAAGAGGATGAAGACGAGGAGGAGATATGTATGATCACGTGGGTGGGGGGGTAGCTCGCCCCCCCCCCCCCCCACATGATCATACATATCTCCTCTTCCTCCTCCTCCTCATCCTCCTCCGCTGTTCTTCGTTCTCTCTCTCTCTCTCTCTCGCTTTCTCTCTCTCTCTCTCTATCTCTTCTCTTTCCTCCTCCTCCTCCTCCTCCTCCTCCTGCTCCTCTCCTCCTCCTCCTCCTCCTCCTCCTCCTCCTCCTCCTCCTCCTCCTCCTCCCCCTCCTCCTCCTCCCCCTCTGCATCTCAATGGATTATATGGGAAAACAAAAAAAAAAAAACATCCTTTGGAAAGCACCGCAAGGGGATTCGATTGGAAAGCCTCATAAAAAAAAAGGGAATCCCTGGGAAAACACTACAAGGGGATTCGACTGGAACGCCTCAAAATAGGAATCCTTTGGAAAGCACCACAAGGGGATTCGATTGGAAAGCCTCACAAAAAGGAATCCCGTGGAAAGCACACAAAAGGATTCGATTGGAAAGCCTCACAAAAAAAAAAGGAATTCTTTTGAAAGCACATCAAAGAGACTCGATTGGAAAACCTCACAAAAGGAATCCGTTGGAAAGCACAACAAAGGGATTAGATGGGAAAGCCTCGCAAAAAAAAGGGAATCCTTTAGAAACCACAAAGGGATTCGATTGGAAAGTCTGACAAAAGGGATTCGATTGGAAAGCCTCACGCAAGGAATCCTTTGGAAAGCACCGCAGAGGGATCCGATTGGAAAGCCTCACAAAAGGAATCCGCTGGAAACACCAAGCAGGGACCCCAAGTACTCGGACCCCATCTACGAGACCTAGATTACGTTCGCTACAAGCCTGACACCTCTGCCCCTGTGGGCGGCACTCAAAGAAACATGGCGCACAGAAAAACGAGAGTTCTGGGTCACGGAGCCTGGCACGCACATGTTCGCAGCTTCTGGGCATGACAGTCCGACACGAGGTGCATTCCTTGTTGATAAACGACATGCGCGACACATACGAAGCTTCAAAGCAGTTAACGAGCGGGTCGCCTACATCGACGTCGGCTTCCCACATCGTCTGCTCCGAATCGTCACGGCTTACTTCCCACATGGAGGATACAGTGACCAACACGTGCAATGTAGCAGAAATACACGCTGATGCCCACAAACAGCACCGGACGACCATCGTCACAGGAGACTTCGTGGGCTGTCTTGGAGGGTCGGGACGACGAAAAAACAAGAAAACCAAACACCTGCAAAAAACCAACGGAATTCAATGATTTCGGCCTCTTGCAGCCCTCTTGGGAATGCTCTTGGGGCTCTCTTGGGACGTCTTGGAGGCCTCTTGGGCCATCTGGGAGCCATCTTGGGCGTATTGGAGCGGTCTTAGGCGCGTCGTGGCACGCTTTGACCGTCTTCGACGACTCTTGGGCCGTGTTTGCAAGCTCCTGGGCGGTCTTAAGCGCCTATTGGGTTGTTTTTAGGCCCTCTTGGACCGTCTTGGGGCGCTCTTGGGGGCCTCTTGGGCGATCTTGGGACGGTCTTGGGGACTTCGTGGGCTGTCTTGGAGGGTCGGGACGACGAAAAAACAAGAAAACCAACAACCTGCTAAAAACCAACGGAATTCAATGATTTCGGCCTCTTGCAGCCCTCTTGGGAATGCTCTTGGGGCTCTCTTGGGACGTCTTGGAGGCCTCTTGGGCCATCTGGGAGCCATCTTGGGCGTCTTGGAGCGGTCTTAGGCGCGTCGTGGCACGCTTTGACCGTCTTCGACGCCTCTTGGGCCGTGTTTGCAAGCTCCTGGGCGGTCTTAGGCGCCTATTGGGTTATTTTAGGCCCTCTTGGACCGTCTTGGGGCGCTCTTGGGGGCCTCTTGGGCGATCTTGGGACGGTCTTGGGGACTTCGTGGGCTGTCTTGGAGGGTCGGGACGACGAAAAAACAAGAAAACCAACAACCTGCTAAAAACCGACGGAAATCAATGATTTCGGCCTCTTGCAGCCCTCTTGGGAATGCTCTTGGGGCTCTCTTGGGACATCTTGGAGGCCTTTTGGGCCGTCTGGGAGCCATCTTGGGCGTCTTGGATCGATCGTAAGCGTCTCGAGGCACGCTTGGACCGTCTTCGGCGCCTCTTGGGCTGGACAAGGGCGCTCCCGGAGGCCCGATCCCGCCATGGGGGGTTGCGGTCCCTGCCAGGGAGCCCCCGGCCCTGTAGCCCGGTATATATATATATATATATTATATATATATATATATATATATATATGTCCGTTTTCCCTATCAAAATATAAGGGAACCCCCCCCCCCGGATGGGCGTCACCTAATTCGCCCCCCCGGAAGAGCTCTGAACGGGCTCACGACAGCTCCGACAATGCCCGAAATTACCCCCAAGCTGGTCCGACCGGCCCACATTCCGCTCTATGATGCCCCAGTTGCTCCTACGAAGGCCCACGAGGCCTCCAAGACGCCCCAAGAGGCCTCCGAGAGCCTTCCCAAGAGAGCCCCAACAGGCAAAATTCATTGATTTCCAATGGTCTTCGACGATTCTTGGATTTACGCGTTTGCCACACCCGCCTCTCCAAAACGGCCACATGGGGACTCCAAGATTGCCCCCAGACGGCTTAAGACACCTTCAAGACGGCCCCAAGACAGCCCCAAGACGGCCCAAGAGGCTTCTAAGACGGCTCCAGGGACCCTCAAGACGGCTCCAAGAAAGGCCCCACGACAGGATCCGAGCCGACATTTCGGCCCTCCCGCTCCAGGATACCCCGAACACACTCTCCAGAGGCCCCCAAGGCCCCAAGAGACCCCCAGGAGATCGCCGAGAAGCCACCCATGAGGCCTCCAAACGCCAAGGCCCGCACTAACAGCGACGACGTACACACCTCGGCCGGGCCAGGCTCTCCCTGAGGTTCTTGGGAGCTGGAATCTAGCTCCTGGAGCTATTTCGTTTTTGGTAGCTGAATTCTAGCTCCCAGGCAAAATTGTGTTTTTGGGTTTTTCGCTGTTTTTGAATTTTTGGACGTCGGTGCTATTAAGTTGCTTGCTTTGTGTTTCTTTCTTGTTCTTTTTGATGTTTTCCTTTTTTTGGGGGGGCAAGGCAATCAGTACGACAGTGCAACGGCGCCAGCCTCTGCACGTCGGCCGTTCCTTCGAACTGGCCGTGCAAGGGCTAGGAAACAGCATTCCGAAATTATGCCTCCTTCCGCCTCCATGCTTTCCCAGGCAAATGTGCCCACAACGAAGATGTAGAGCGCGCCCCCTGTATGATCCAGGTCGGTTGACATGTTTTGAAGCAGGGGTGGGTATGTATATAAATGTATACATACACGCGTGGGGTGCACTTCCCCACCTGATGTTTGTTGTGTATGTGTTTCGTCACACAAGGTGATCCGCCGAAGTCAGAACGTTCACGTCCGCGTGCGTGCCTTTCTCACCCCCCCTGGCGAGCACACCCCTCTCACGTTTCATGGCAACGGGTTCCGTCGCGACGGTCCTCTTTAGCATCGTTGCGTTTCTTCGCCCATGTCGGCACAACGCGCACGCAGCGTGGTCTTAAATTTCTATACCGACGGCTCCAGCAAACGGCGCCCACAACGCGACCATGCATCCGCACACCCCTCACGCGAAGACGAAATCGGTTGCAGCATGTCCGCCCCATGTCGGCGCACCGCTTGCACGCGTCGCGGCTTTTGGAATCCATTTTCGGAGTAGCATTGGAGGAAGTCTCAGGTGGGAGCCCTTTCCTTATGGGTAGAAAACAGGAGGAGGAGGAAAAGCAGGAGGAAAAGCAGGGGAAGGACGAGGAGGAGGAGGGGGAAGAGGAGGAGGAGTGGGAGCAGGAGCAGGAGGAGGAGGAGGAGGAGGAGGAGGAGGGAGGAGCAGGAGGAGGAGGAGGAGGAGGACGACGAACAAGTGTATCTACAGTGGTCGCTATTTTCGCGTTTGTCGACCTTTCGTCGTTACCCTTTTGTTGTTGTACCTCCTCCTCCCCCTTCTTCATCCGACGGGGAGCCCGTGTGTCAAAACCACATCGGGCTCGAAAAAAAAAACGCGAAGCACGGGGCATTTATAAAGCACATGCCCTTCCTCAGCGGCGAATTTCTCGCCGTCGAACACTCCCAGCGCCAGCACTTGCATGACGGACGACAGTCCCCGTTTGATTTGCAGAGTTTCTGATGTTTGGTACGGGGACCGTTGGAGCCACATGGTTTCTTTTTCGGAGGCCGTTCGAGCGGGATATGTTTCTGCCCCATTTTTGTCTTTGTATTTTCCGTTCGAA